ATCCTTAAGCAACTCCAACCACCTCCGCTGCCACAAATTAATATCCTTCTATTTAAACAGATGTTGTAGACTCCAGTGATCGGTATAAACCTCATAATGGACACCATACAAATAATGCCGCCAAATCTTCAAGGCATGAACTATAGTTGCTAACTCAAGGCCGTGGACTGGATAATTCTTCTCATGTACCTTTAACTGTCTGGACGCATAGGCAATCACCCCACCGTCTTTCATCAGCAGTGCACCGAGGCCAATAAGCGACGCATCACAATACACAGTATAAGACCCTGAACCTGTAGGTAACACTAATACTGGGCTGTAGTCAAAGCTGTCTCGAGTATTTGCACTTTGCTCGGTAGTTTACGGGTGTGAGTAGCTCCGTATGAGGTATTTTAACTTGTGTGAATCATCGATTTTGGTTTTCATATTATTCGGGACTGATTTGGAAGAATGATTCTAAACTAGGGAGCTTTAAATTCGAAAGAATTGACCAAGTTTGACTTTTTAGTATTTGATCTTGGATTGGAATTTTGATGGTTTCGTTAGCTCTGTTGGGTATTTTGGACTTAGGAGCGCGTTCGGATTTTGATTTGGATGTTCGTGGTCGAATTTGGCTCGAAATGGTGAAAGTTAAAATTTTGGAAAGTTTGACCGGGAGTGGAATTTTTGATATCGGGGTCGGATTCCAATTCTGAAAGTTGCACGTCCGTAATGTCGAATGTGAATTGTGTGATTTCGATTTGAGGTGTGATTCGTTGTTTTTATGCTGTTATGTGTGTTTTGAGACCTCGAGTAGGTCCGTGTTACGTTACAGAACTTGTTGGTATATTCGGACGGGGTCTCGAGTGGCTCAGATGAGTTTTGGACGAGGTTCGAATTATTTTTACTTCATGTTGCATTGCTAAAGGCTGCTGGTTCTGGTATGATCGCACCTGCAGTTGGTTTGCGTAGGTGCGATGGTCGCAAAAGTGACAAAGGCGTCATATATGCGATATGAGAGCTAGATGAGGAGGCACGCATAAGCGGAGAAAAGGGCGCAGGTGCGGATGCGCAGGTACGCCGAGTGGAAGCGCAGGTGCGACTGTCTTCGCAGATGCGGAGTTTGATACCCCAGGAGCGGGGGTTACTAGGCAAGGCCATTTTTCGCAGATGCAATGTTTTTCTGCAAAAGCGGTGGTCGCAGTTGCGACGAATTGTCCGCAAATGCGGAATCGCTGGGCAGAAGCTATATTATTGAGGGTTTTGGTTCTTCCTTCATTTTGGAAGCTATAAAGCTCGTATTGAGGCGATTATTGAAGTAATTTTCACCATATGAATTGAGGTTCGTATTCTCTACCCAATTTTTGTTATATTCATGAATGTACCTTCGTTTTTGGTAATTGGATTATGAATTTTATAGAGGAAATTGGGGGTTTTGGCCTAAAGTTTCATAATATGATTTGAGTTTTGAACATCGAATTGGAGTCGGATTTGAGTGAAACTAATATGGTTGGACTCGTAATTGAATGGGTTGTTGGATTTTATAAATTTTGTCGGGTTTCAAGGTGCGGGTCCGGGTTGGACTTTTGGCCGAATTTGGACTTTTGATTCAAGATTTGATCTTTTTCGATTGGTATTGGTTCCTTTAGCATTGTTCGATGCAATCGAGTTATTTTTGGTTAGTTTCGAGCCGTTTGGAGGTCGGAGCGCGCGAGATGGCATTAATTGTCTTATTAATATTATTGGAATTGGATAGTTATTAAAAGGCTTACCTAGCGGGTTGTGTTGGGTGCCATCACGACTAGTTGGATTTTGGATCGTGACAAGGTGGTATCAGAGCTCTAGGTTCATAGGTTCTATAAGTCATGAGTAAGTGTCTAGTAGAGTCTTGCCGATCGGTATGATGACATCCATACTTATATTCGAGAGGCTACATGACATTTAGGATGTACTTCCCATTTTTCTTTCCTTATCGCGGGACATTAATTCAGCCTGAAGCGTAACTCTTTGAATTCCTTCCACATATTTATATGCGCACATGAGCACTCGGTATCAGCTGTGCATCGACGACTTGTGATTCCATGGTTGAGGTGCGAGATGTGATTTTGGCGTGCTGATGATGGGCTAGTCTGGAGGACTTGAGGCCGGGTTTTGACTGTAGCTTGAGCACGGAGATTTCGATTGTGTGAGCACGTGCTTTTCGGACTTATATGTCCGGTGGTGCCCCTATTAGTGCAATTTGTGATTGGATGACTATGTGGTGAGTATGATGAGACTGCGAGATGTGTTCGGATATGACGAGAAGAGTTTTCTTGAGATGTAGAAAGGACTATGGGGTATCTGATTTTGTTTTTCTTTGGCGTATGGTCTCGAGTTATGGGTGAATTGAGGGATCTCTTATATTGTTTAGTAGTGGAGTGAAGTAGATTTTCATGTCTTGTTGATGAGTTCAGAATCGAGAAGATTAAGTGATTGTGTAGTAGTCGTGACCATGGAAGGGTGTAGAGAGATGTTAGTTTGAGGCAAAGCAGGTGGGTTATTCCCTGCGAGGTGTCCTGAGATTGTGTGATCCCTAAGATATTTTGTAGAGAGTTCTCTTTTACCAGTGAATGATATATGTTACAATTTGAGTTTGGAACCAAATATTGAAGTAAGGCTTGTACTTGTTATTCTATCTCCTTGTTGTTAATTGTTCATTGCATTATAGTAAGGGAGAGTGTTAATGCACGAAGGGTGATGCCATGCCATATTGTGAGTGTTAATGCACGAAGGGTGATGTCGTGCCATATTGTGAGTGTTCATGCATGACGGGTGATGCAGTACCATATTGTGAGTGTTAATGCACGAAGGGTGATGCCGTTTCATATCGTGAGTGTTAATGCACGAAAGGTGATATCGTGCCATGATATGAGAGTTAATGCACGAAGGGTGATGCCGTACCGTTTCTATTGATTTTATGGTGAGGTTGAGAGTAAAAGCACGAAGGGTGATGCCGTGTAATTTTTCTTTTACTGTACTCACCGTTCCTGCTGATTCATAGTATATTGGTTGTTCCAGTTATAATTCTGCTGTAGTTCTTTATCTCGTATTTCCCCCAGCATGTTTCTCCCTCCCGATATTTCCTGTTTAACTCTCCATTGTTGTTATTTGTATATACACTATTGAATTGTACAGGTTGATTCGTAGGTGTCTTGTCTTAGCCTCGTCACTACTTCATCGAGGTTAGGCTCGACACTTACCAGTACATGGGGTCTGTTGTACTGATACTGCACTCTGCACTTTCGTTGCAGATTTTGGTACCGACTTGGGTTAATCGAGATTTTAGCTATTGGACCAACAGATTGATTTTAGTTTAAGCTTTAAACCTTGAAATTAAGTGTTCCAATTCATTCCAAAACATCACCGAACCCGAACCAATCACCCCGACGAGTCACATAACAATTGTAAAGCATAAATTGAGCAGTAAATGGGGGAACGGGATTGTAATACTCAAAACGACCGGTTGGATCATTGCAGAAGGTGTAGTTTTTTCTTATGCATAGTAGTGCTCCAGAGGAAGTTTCGTTAGTAGCGTTCCATTTTATGGATAATGTTTGCTGGAAGCGATATGTATTGCGTGACATGGTTTGGTAGAGTGTTTAGGGTGGAGTTTATTAATATTGTGCGTCCAGCGCTCTCTAATAGCATCCACACTTCACTATAACTTCTTCGAGAACTAATGTGTTCAACTTTAGCATAAACTATGTGAATTGATAATAAAAACTTTCATGCCGTGAATTGTTCTATTCTTGTTAGATTGATTCCTGTAGTTAATTAAGAATTACATTGGAAAGTGTTAACCATCTAATAAGAAAAGTGGGTTAATGAATGAATTTCTTCAATAGCAAAAATGGAAGAGATTAATTAAAATATTGATAGATTTTTTATAAAAATAATAAAATGCTTATCTCTTTATACTTTTGATGAATTCAAAATTATAATTTAGTAAAAATAATATTAAATTATTTAAATTTTCAGTAAACTACAAAATGAGAAAACTAATCAAATATTACAGTAAAAAAGAATGTATGAAAGAGAGGGATAAAGATAATTTTATGATATTTATATTTTGAATTGATTAAAAAATAAAATATTAATAAATAACACTCACAAAAATTTATCAATAAATTTAGATAATTGAAGAATTTTGAATAGTATAACATAAGTTTAATANAGAAGTAGTATCAAACTATTAAGCCAATTGACAAGTTAATAAAAAATTATATTAGTAAATGTATAGTATTAAATACTTGCTAATTTGACTATAAGAATAAATAAGGAACACACAATTTATTTTTTACTATATGATGTGTATCCTTTAAGTTTGTATAGATTTTGTTATATTTCTGCATACTATATTAAATAATAAAATATAACTAATATTTATTAAAATGATACGATATTTTAGATCATAATTTTATAAGATTAATAATTTTTTAAATTATCCGCGCATCGCTCGAATTCTAATAGTAATATAGTAAAATAGATGCTGAAAGTCCAGCAAGACTAAATCACTAATAAAAGAAATTCAGAGAAACTTTATCTAATTAATTAATCACGATTCCCATATCTTCGAAATAGTAGTTGGATTAGCCCGGGCCCAATTACCAAGTTGAACATTACTGTCCGTAAAAAACTGCCAGAAATGTGGAAATCGGCTTTGCAGAAGGAAATAAAAAGTTGATCCAGCATTTTTTTACCATATCAAGTGTTCTACTCAAATGTCAAATTTCAGAACAGTTAAGCCTCCCATGGACAAAACAAACTAACAAGACAAATCGAAGTACATTGTACCATAATCAACATTAGGAACTTCACTTCAGAGATGCATGGAAATTCACTTTTAAATTGTCAAATTAATCAACTTCAACATTTCAACTGGACACCGATTTAATTATTTTCTAAAAATAAAAGTTTAGAGATTCAGAAACTGCGTAGTAGATACATGATGGTGGTGTCATTTCAAAATGATACAAAAAGGCTAAGAAAACACAGAAATATATTTATTTGCTTAATCATAAACTGTTACGCCGCTACATAATTCGAGGACAAAGAAGAGACCATAGTCTGTCAGAAAAGGAACTTGATCTATAATTGATAGCCCCCTTTAAATTTTCATTTCTAAAACTGCTATTCCACCAATTTCATCCAAGCAAAAAGTCTAAAACACTTGAAACCATGGCAAAGCATGCCATCAAACAAATGAGAAGTGCAATTAAGAGCCAAGTACAAGATACTTTCTTGATATATAGCAGCAGATCAAGCAAGAACTTCACAAAATCCTTGTGAGAGCTCCAAGATGCCTTGAAACAATCCTGCGTGCAGACAAGAAGCATTATCAAGCTAGTGTGTAGAAAGATATCTTTTTCTTTTTGGTTCACAACTGTAGATAATTTTTCAAATTCCACTTTATTTTGGTCTCTCAGATAGATAGTTGCGGTCCTCATAACTTTTTGTCTATTAGCTGCAATTTTATAATGTCCTTCATTATTCCAGTTTCCACCACTGAACCTAAATTTTTGACATTGAACAACTTATGCAGATAAGCAATCTAGTTTGCAATGTGCCAAATAGTCGTGTTACAAAAAATTCTGCAAACATAGCATTAAAGGTGCAGAGGTTATGCACACATCAAATCTTTAAGAAGCAGCGAGTATACTATTATCCCTCCTGCCTTATATCACAAAAACTATACCGAACTTATATATTCTATGTACAAGTTGTTACCAAAAAAAGAAAAAATTCCCTACAGATTGATGGTTTCAGCTATGATATAAGTTATACATATCAGTAATCCCAAAATTAAGCTTCAGCTCGATTAATGAAAGATGGAGAAGATAGTTCAGTAAGAGAATGGTCGTAGCTACAAATAAAGAGAATGATCATAGGTACAAACCAGAAAGCAGCCCCTTCACGAGGAAGTTTTAGCTCCTCGCACTTTGGACACCTTCGAATAGTACAAAAAATAATTAGCAGAGAAATTAAAGTACAGAAACACTTCAGTGAAAGTAACAATAAAAGGCCAACTATTGGCAGTATAACTACAAAAGCAAATGAAAGATCACCCATAGCAATTGCCAACAGGTGTTGGATGCATTAAATTTCCAACTCCAAGGATGATCAACAAATGTCCCAAAAAGTAAGTTTATGATACCATCACAAATACAGTACGTCAAAATGGAATTCTATATGATTTATAAAAATCAACAAAAATTATACAAGGCAACACAGCGAGGAAACGAAACAAGGAATGAAATAAGCTGACCAAAGCATAAAATGGAGACACCAGCATCATAATTACTTTGTCCCACTTTTTTATGCAACAAACAAGGAATTTTCAGAATATCCATCTCTCCATTTCATATAAAATACTCTATTATCTCCGGACATCTTCAGAATTTTCAGCCACTCAGCTTTAAATAACAATAGATCAATCACAAACACTTAAAAAATAGAGAAGACAGAATATGCGTAAGAAATTTAACAGATATGGTAATTCATTGAAGAATTTTCTCAAACACCTAGAGAACAAAAGTCGTAACAGAAATGGTAATTCATCGAAGAATTTTCTCAAACACCTAGACAACAAAATCCATTGATATTCCTCAAGAGAAATATAGATAGAGATGAATCAAAGAGATGGTAGAAGAGATACCCACCAGAAAATAGGATTGACAGAAAGAAACACATTGAAGTGCAAACTTGACAACAAGACATAAACGGAGAGAGCAAATATTCTGGATTTTTCTTAGTCGGAGATGGCGTTACTTCTCAACGGTTGTTCGAGATTTAATCGAGAAACCAGCTGTGCTTCCACGTGTTAAAATTGTAACTCCTCGTGTTAGCTGTGAAAGCTTTGAAATGACAGAAGTATCCTTAGATTAACTTTTAATTCCATAGAAGCACACATATTGACCAAGAGGTGTTTGCTATTCCCTCTTATTTATTAGTAAATAGTAATAGCGGTAAGAAGCTATTGCTGTAATCTCCTCCGCATGAAATTACTAAGTACTGAGACCAGCCCACAATGATTTGATGATGCTTGAAAAACAAAATAAATTCAGCCCAAAAAGCAAGCAAGCAATACTTTCCTATTTTCATGAAAATTTCATTTGAAGAAGTCCAAAGAATTAATTCAAATAGTTGTTCACCTAATTATTTAAACGAAAATAATTGATAAATATTTAATATATGTACATCAGTTATAAAAAATAAATAATGAATACAACCGGTTAAAAAATATTCCACTACTAAGTTAACCCGAACCTTGAAAAATATCAAAATAATTATTATTTTTAAAAACGTTTTTGCCTTACCAAGCGAATATCCAATAAGCAAGAATAGAAAATACTCCAACAAATAAAAGAAATTGAAAACAGAAGACAAAAAATTAGGAGTCATCAGCCAAACACTAGAATTGGACACATGTTTAGTGTACATCACTCTTATTTCTGTTTTATAACCAGGTGTCATCATTTAACGTTCCATCCCCCTTCCCAAAATTTTTCCCACCGCCCTAATAAAACCATGCAAATTAAAGTGAAAGCCCTATTTCAAAGAACAACCCCCAAAAAAGCAACCCTGCTACACTAGAAAACTCTGTTAGAAACCAGAGTGAGATCAGAAAACAAAACAACAAAAGGAAATGGCAGGAAATGAAGAATGGAGAAAAATGGCGGATACAACCAAGATGAGTCCTGAGGAAGTGAAAAATGCTGGAGTTGAGGCTTCTATGAGACCACCAGGCCATAATCCAGGTACCTAGACTAGAGTGCGTGCGATTTAATTTAACTCATTATTTTTATAAATAGTACTATACATGTGTGTGTGTGTCATAATACTCCCCCGTGTTATTTCAAAATTTGAAGTTTATAGATTTTTATAGTGAAATACAAAAATTGAATCTATTATATTTAAATCTTGGATTCGTCACTGTAGGTACTGTACTACATCAAAGAGGGCGGTTGCCTTATAGTATTACGACCATGGCACTTGTTGGTTTTGCTATCACAGGTGCTATTTGGTACGGCACTATGTATGCAATGAAGAAACCCGAAGCCACTGCAGTTGACGTAGCCAAAGTTGCCACTGGAGTTGCTGGCCCTGAAGATACTCGTCCTCGCAAGTAGTTAATAAAAATTACATTTAATTGTCTCCACTCTAATTTTAGCTGCAATAGCCCTTTGCCTTTATAAATTACTTGTCACTTTTTATTTTGAATATTAATACTCTTTTTTTTTTTTCGGCTTCTAATTCGTATCTAAAAAGGCTCTCTCCAATCTTTGCATATAGTCTCTGGGTGATTCGTTTTTTGGGCCACTATTAAAGTTATGTCCCTATTGTATAAAATTTGTAAATTTACCCACTTTGGAACACATTTTAGGAATTTGCATTTGATCAGGTTCCGAATCGAGTTGGAAGTTTTTCTATATTTTCACAACTTAAAGAAAATCGGTTTTTGTAGTTTTGTCTTCAATGCAACTTTAAAATCGACTTTGAATTTTTTTTTTATTTTTTCAATGCAAATTTATCAAAAATATGCAACTTCTGAATCTTTAAGTTCTGAAATATAATTTGTCCTTATTCAACGTTCAAATGTACTTACAACATACACCTTTCTCATGCGAAATTAGTCGATGGTTACTAACCTGTATTTGTATTGAAATATTTATTAAATCTATATAAATATATATTGCCGAACTCAGTAACAAAAGGGGTATTGGTTTAATGATAAGGTTGTGGGTTCGCTGGGAAAGATTGGGGTTTGATTTTCACTGAAAACAGTGTTTTATTTTAAAATTTAGAACCCAGACATTTCAAATCCTAGCTCCGCCTCTGATGTGATTTGTATACTAGTGAAGCATGTGCAATTTAATACATAATGCATCTTCTACGATACACACCCTTCTCATGTGAAAGTGCTAGACTGCTAGCATTCTCTAGAACATGCGAAATCTCTTATGCTGTCTAGCACACATGATTTCTCGCAACTTTATCCATGCAATCTTAATCCCCCACGGTCACCGCATCTATCATGCCACAATTCAAAGTAACAATGAGAGCTAATGAATTGAGTATGATAAATAATGGTTCTTCGGTATTGCCAACTACTTCAACGTAACTATGAATAATAATATTTCTAGATTTTGGGGATGGGATAAATTCTTGAATCAGGATGCTATCGACTATTGTTCTTAGATTGTTCCTTGCCAATTCAATCACCCGAGAGATGACCAATGCTGAAGGGATTATTAATCATTAGTTGAGTATTAATTAAGAAGTAGCATGTTTTACCTTTCTAATTTCCTTTCTCTTGTTTACGAGAAGTGGCACATCGTGTTCTTTTTGTTATACTTATATATAACGAAACGGAGAAGCTGTTGTTTTTGCATTAATAATCTCTACTATCTTCTTCCTTGTGTCAATGTATAAGTTAATTTCTCAAATGACAACTAATTAGTCTTACTACATTAATTAAAAAAATTAGTGATGAAAGAATTCGTTGTTGCAGAATCATTTACAAAAGATTTCAATTTGAACAATTATATTTCTGTTGGTATTATTATTAGGCTAATGCCAATCTCAATTTTCTTATGCAACAAATTTAAGTGTGGAATAGTAATTTCGCTCTAGTAATTTAAATGATTGGTGTTAAATCTTGATTACATTTGTTAATTTACAACATAGCATTTTATTTTTCTTTTTGACCTTCTGGTTTCTAACAAGTTGAGTTGCGTTAAATGTTATGGTCTTATGGACATGAAAGTCTGCCAAAATTCTTTCAAAACACTGGCATTAGTAAGCTCGTACAATTAAAATTTTAGGGGACTTGTCCATATTTGTACAATTTCGTACCAGTTAGTACATCAGTAGGACTTGCCCATATTGTCTCAGGCAAGGCAACTCGACAGGACTATTCTTAGACCCATTTGTTCATAGAATTATTTTAATTTTTCTTCTTTTTTTTTTCAAAAAAGAATCTTGAACATTGTTTGGCTATAGTTTGGGATGATCTTTTTAATATGAGTTTCAAGTTTTTCAAGTAGATAATTGTGTTGGTCACAAAATTGTAATATCTTTTCAAGTGATTAATGTATATCCAAACACAATTTGGCACTTGTTTGCCAACAAGTCTCAATTGGAAAACTTTTTTTGGTTTGAAGAATTAATCTAACTAGTTATCCACCCAACAAAAAAAAAATTATANCTCAAAATTTGGAGGCCTCAAATTCATTTTAAATTCTTCTTATTATTATTACTATATACTAATGTCACGACCCAAAATTTTAACCTGTCGTGATGGTGCCTATCTCGATACTAGGCAAGCCGACAACCTCGATAAACCATAATTTCTTTTAAGTTTGAAAATATAATATTTAAACACAATCCAAAAAAATAAATCTCGCAATTACCAATACAAACACTCCCAAAACCTAGTGTCACTGAGTACATGAGCATCTATATATTACAAGTCTGGAAAATATGGTCTTTAATAATATGAGACCAAATACAATAAACAAAAGGATATGGAAGGAGAGACAAGGTCTGCGAAACATGGCAGCTACCTTATATCTCCGAAAAATCGACTGTGTCAAAGAATCAACACCCACTGTATCCGGGATCAACTAGATCTGCACACGAAGTGCATGGTGTAGTATGAGTACAACCAACTCAGTAAGTAACAATAATAAATAAAAAACTGAAAGTAGTCACGAGCTTCTCAGCTAAGTCCAATTACAGTACTTTCCAACATAAAAAGAGTAGGCATGCTTTCAAGTTCAACATTTAATATTTCACAGAAATTTCATATCAAATTTGTCTGACACATAAAATAATATTTTTTTAAATTTCCAAAATAGTGATATATGACAGCTGAAATACAGCAAATAATGCAATCAATGCATCCTCTCAGAGTAACAATCACTCAATCCTTCCATTCACTCCAACCTCACAGTCACTCTTTTCTCATAGTCACTCATTCCTCACAGTCACTCAGCACTCGGCACTCGCACTCATTAGGTACCTGCGCTCACTGGGGGTGTGTACAGACTCCGTAGGGGCTCCTTAAGCCCAAGCGCTATATCAAGCCAATCATGGCATATAACAGTGAAACATGCTGCGCGCGTGTAGCCCGATCCCATAAATATCCTCACAATTAGGCCCTCTGCCTCACTCAGTCATCAACCTCTCTAGTCTCTCGGGCTCAAGATATCATGAAAATCAGCCCAAAAATGATAATATGATGCATCAATATATAGCAATAAAGACTGAGATATGATATGAAATGAATGAACATGACTGAGTGTGAAATTACAATTTGAACATATAATTCAACCACAGAAATGAACCGAGTGGATGCCAATAATAACAACATATGCCTAAGCATGATTTTTAATACGAGTCTTAGCTCAATTTTCTCTAACACGTAGAGAATGTACGGATATCAACAGATTATTCAACTATACAGTCCCATGGAATTTTACCAAGTCACAATTCCTATGGTGCACGCCCACCCGCCCGTCACCTAGCATATGCGTCACCTCAAAACCAATCACATAACTCATAATCCGGGGTTTCATACCCTCATGACCAAATTTAGAACTGTTACTTACCTCAAATCGTGTAATTCTTTATTCCGCTATGCCCTTGCCACGAGAATTGATCTCCGAAAACCTCGTATCTAGCCACAACTAATTCGATTAAGTCAATACCAATTATTGTAATTAATTCCATAAGACAATACTAATTTTTCAATAAAAATCCGAAATTATCTCAAAAATTGCCTGTGGGGCCCACGTCTCGGAACCCGACAAAAGTTATAAAATATGAACGCCCATCCAACCACGAGTCTAACCATATAAATTTCACAAAATTCTGACATCAACTCGGCCCTCAAATCTTCAATTAAAGTCTATGAAGAGTTTTACCATTTTCAACTCAATCTTTATCCATTTGAACTCAACAATCTTTTCACAAATCTTATTGGTATGTGTATGTATAAATAATATTCTAACACCCAAGAATCATACTATTAATCACCCATCCTTTACTCCAAACCCGAAATTGAAGAATTGGGGAAAGAAATTCTTACCTCTTTGAAGCCCTAGCAAGATCCTTGTGAAATCTTTAAACCTTGAACAAGAATTGATGGATAAATGACTAAGTCTTCACTTTTTCTCTCTAAAATGCTCTCACCTCTCTCTAAAATGTCATATGAAACCCTTCAAAATGACCCCCAATAGTGTTTTATAGGAATGGGGTCGGGTTTATAAAACCAGAAAAATTAAGCCCCGAAACACTCTGCGGTCACATATGCGACCGCATAATGCTTCTGTGGCTCGTGAAATGGCCGCGAAATGTGGCCTCCGGAACTAGGCAAGGCTGCCTCAGTATGCGGTCGTTATGCGGTCCGCAAACCTATTCTGTGGTCGCATAATGCACAACATAACTGATCTGTGGTCGCATAATACACCGCAAACTTTCCTCCAAAATTGCCCCACTCTTGATTCACTCTGCGGCCATTATGCGGTCCGCAGAGTGATTTCTATAACCTTTGTACTAATTGATATACTTCGGTACCACAAAACCTTAATTTTCTTAGCAAAAATTCTCTAGGGTCGTTACAAATAAGTCCACATCCGGTCAACCTTTTCAACTTAAATTCTAGACCTTGGAACTAAGTGTTCTAAATCATTACAAAACCTCACCGGACCCGAACCAATTACCCCTGGCAAGCCAAATAACAACCGTAAATTACAATTTGAACAGTAAATAGGGGAACGGGGTTGTAATACTCAAAATGATCGGCCGGGTCATTACATTCTCCCCCTCTTAAACAAACGTTCGTCCTCAAACGGGTTTAGAATTATACCTAGACTCTCAAACAAGTATGGATATTTGCTCTGTATCCCCGCTCAGTCTCCCAAGTAGCTTCTTCGATTGGCTAGCCTCTCCACTACCCCTTCACTGAAGCTATGTCCTTTGATCTCAACTTTCAAACCTGCCGGTCTAAAATAGCCATCGACTCCACATCATAAGTTAAATTACCGTCCAGCTGCACTGTACTGAAATTCAAAATATGAGACGGATCCCCGACATACTTTCGGAGCATGGATACATAGAACACTGGATGAACACCTGATAGACTAGGTGAGAAAGCAAGTTCATAAGCCACTTCTCCAATTTTCTTATGTATCTCAAAAGGCCCAATATACCGAGGGCTCAACTTGCCCTTTTTCCGAACCTCAGCACACCCTTCATGGGTGAAATCTTGAGCAGAACCTTTTT